CAGTCTTACATATTAATTTCATTAATTTTAGTTATTTATTTTATTTATTTATTCGTTAATTTAATTCATAATTTTATTATGAATAGCTTTGTTGAAAACCCTTATCTTCATACGTTATCAGAGATAGGTGTACGAAATGATACCTTTTCCTGCAATAACTAAGTTAAAAATTTTTCTTCACTTTTTGTGGTTATTTCATTCTTTTATATTCTACCATGGATGTTCTTGATTTCTTAGTTGAAGAGAAAATTGCTCGTTTAAAGCACAATCTTGGACGTCAATTTTCCCAAGCAACCCCACTTGTTTGCAGGACAGCGATACCGTAGAATTGGAACGAAGATGTTCGTACCAACTGTTAGAAATAAGGCATTGGCCGTGTGCCAGGTGGTCGATTGTTAGCTCATGAATGGTATTAAAGCAGAAGCTTTTACACCTGGCCAATTGTAATAACGGCGCGTTACGAGTATTATTTGAACTTGAAATAATCGCAAACGTTTCCTGTAGCATAACTTCGTTAAATCCAGATCAAAGATTCTTACTCTTCCTTACGTAAATGCAATAAAAAGTATAATTAAGTTACTTAAATGTGATGAAAATATAATACGTTCCTTTCTGAATCTGCTTTTAGGAAGAAAAAAGGAAACTTTTATTTCCATTTTATATACATTTTTCATTCTTTTCTGTGAAAAACAAATAATTCCAACTAAAAAATGAAAAATGAAACGTTGCAGGTGTTGCAAAAATTTTATAAAATCAAAAAGACACTTTTCAGACAAAATTTTTATTTGTATTTCTCATTTTATTTTATTTTGATACATTATTGTAGGAGAAACAAACTTTCATTTAATCACTATGTTATTCTCACACATTACAGAGAAGACAAGTCTTTATTTAATCACTATGTCATGAATAATGCAAACTGTTTATACTAAAATTACTTATTTGTTTACATACGATAATTAGATTGCTAATGGAGTACATAATTCATTTAATACAGTACATAAATATAATTATCGCCTTCGTGATAACTGTAATAAATTGCGCGCTTAATTTTTATTCAACTCTTCGTACTTACGTACACTTGTCTCTTCGAATGGCACGTAAATAATTGGAAATTGTAATTCACCATGTATCATTTATAATTTACAAACCTGAATAATTTAGTTGCACGTCCCATAAGCAACATATTACCTCTTTTCACAAATGCGCAAGTCCACGTTCTTCTTTGCGTTTTTACATAAATTCGCCAATAAAATTCGCACACCGGCAGTAGCAAAGGAGAGCTTTAATTAAAACAGAAATGAATTTTACGGAGCGGTAATATCAATTTTCTCATTAGGCGTACACGATGTGGCTGAATGCAATAATGTTATTAAGCCAGCTGGTGAATGGACAACGCGTATGTTTGCACGCGCGTGCACGTAGAGATTGAGTCGCTTATTAAGGTACGAGGCTCGCCGAAAGACCACCACGATAAGGATAGAGAATGCTTTTTTCCCCAAGAATTTCGTATTAAAAAAATTTCTCATTTCTCTACCGATCGTCGCGTTTCTAATGGACATTAAATTAAGACGAATTTTTGGCAAACTGAATCTTTTGTGTCCAAGCCTAATTTTTTTACCGTTTTACGCTTTGAAAAAATCGGAGAAAATTCTGGAATACTCATCGAAGTCTCCGCTATATTGTAGAATTGTTCGTTAAGTGAAGTGTTTGAAACTTTTTTGGATAAAAATTACTTGGGTCGTTGAAGACCCTGATTACGATTTCAGATTGAATTATGACTTTTCTATTGTTAAATACATACTGAAATGAGAATTTTTCTAGATGGAATATTTTTCGACTGGGAAATTCGCTGGTGAAAAAAGTGAACGATTTTTGTTAACGCATCGTGTGATATTAAGTCATTATGGAATATACCTTTTTTCTTTCATTTTTCAATATAGGAGTCACAGAAAGCAAGATTTAATGGGTTTCTTTTATGAACCTTTAAGGTTGATTACAGACTGTCAATCCTCCCATGGCAATATAGATTTCGTTACAGCGAAGTTACGAAGTTAATTGAAATTTATTTCTAGCGAGGAAACTTGTATCAGATCACTTTTAAAGCAAGTTGCGCGTAAGGTACGATTAATATCAAATGAACGATCAATTTTACATGTGTCTACGTTATAAAATTGTGGAAAATAAATTCATTCTCTTTCTTAATTAATAAGTTCGACTTTCGGATGACGGTTTGTCAAATTTTAAACAATTTCGCGAATTGTAAAAGTATCACTTTAAAATGAAACATTTTTATCTTTGTTTTATAACCCGAGAAAAAATTTCCTGCAATTTGCTCGGATTAAAATGAAACATAAGTAATACAAAGAGTTATATTTAATTTTCAAGAACTAACATTAAGTAACTTTTTCATTTCACGTAATTTGTACTTTTCTGAAATTAGAGAAATTTTCTATTAGTTAAAAATTGGGAAAGCATTATGGTTATATGAACGTAAGTTTCATTGCACTGTTTCACTGTAGTCATTGTCGTTTGTTTGAATTTAGGTGGACAAACTAAGGAAGAGGTGATTGAAACGAACGAAAGATTAAGGATTGTAAGGATACGCCTGGATGGAAGTTACGAGATCGCTAAGCGTGCACTTGTTGAGCTTATGTGCAAATACACAGAAAGCAAGCAAGTCCGCAATGTGTTTCAACGTTACAACCTCTTAAAACTAATGATTAAGGTAATTAAAATGTATATATTCATTTGTTTATAATTAAGATCGACAAATTACTTTAAAATACGAATGCATGCAAAAAGATTGCAAATAATTTCTCCGAATATACATATAAACATTTCTGGTGCAATTTGTACACTTGGACCTAAAATTTTGTCAAATTGTTTAGTTTCTTCGAAACAGTTTCGTTACACTTCATTTTCTTAATACCAATTTCCTGCAATCGGATTGAAGTATCTTTAACAATAATACACTTTGTTCGTTTCGATTTGTTTCTCTTTGGATTGGTCGTTGGATGTCAAAATAGAACAAATCAGTATTGGAAGTACCTGTGTACCTTTTGTAATTGTGTATAGTGTGTCCGTGGTTTTGCTATTGTAGGACGTGATCAAGTTGGAGACACAATACTGGACACTGGTGGATATACCGAAGCAGGAAAAACAGGAGACAGTACCTGCCTTTGTCCTGCGCGCCTGTTCCATTATGGAGAAGACTCACAAAAGTGGAGAGGGTGTGAAAACCTCAGCCCGACTGGCTGAGGAGGCTGAGACCAAGAGGGAACGCATAGAGAGACTCGAAAGTGAGTGGAAATTGTATTAGAGAGGGTCAGTTTGCCATATACCGAGTATTTGATCAGACGGAAATAGAAAATTTCATATTTTGACAGTGGAACGAACGATCGGGTCAAAAGTGACCCATTAGCGACCTTCCAAAAGTGCATTTTTATGTAATTAACTCTCGCTGCGGTAGATTATTGGCAAAATCTTTCGCTTAAGCGTTTAAAAATTTTTAAAAGTTTAAAATTTATCATTTTTAAATTTCTATTGTTAAATTAAAGCGAGAGTACTCGGAGGATTGAATTTCAAGCGAAATTTAAGAATTGAATTAAGGCGAAAGTATACCAAAAGTGTACCAAAAATCAATAGTAGTGAAAGGGTTAAAACGTGATTGAAAAATTAGATTCATATCGACACAAATAGAAGTACACATGCTGAAAACAAAGTCAGGAAGATACAAACGATAATATTAACCCGTATCGAATATTCACTTCTTCTGGAAAGATGCTAATGGGTCACTTTTGACCCAGCCATGCTTCTAGTATTAAATATATCGTGACGGTACCTCCTAGGCTCTACCACCAGAGGGACAACCATTCTCACTAGTCCTCGCTAAAGCTCCTGTTTGTATACAGAGTTTTTCAAAACATGTGGGTATAACTTCATGGATTCAGCACGCTAAAATAAGAAAAAAAGTTCATATAAATATGGTATGACCTTGTTTAGCCTTGTATAGCCGTTTATGTGTCTTCCAGTAATTCTTACGACTCTATTGACTGCTTCTTTTAATTGTTTACAACGCTTCTTATCTCATGCACGACCTTTTGGTCTGCTATGTAAGTACTATTTTGTAATACAAGTTCTTGGTGGTAACAGCACGTATGGAAATCTGCTAATACATTTCATAATAATTTGAAGTGATCATTAGATACATTTCATAACAATTTCAGTGATAATTTAAAATTATGGAAATTATTAAATAACAGATATCTATATATGTTTTTATAAACTTTTATTCTTATTTTAGCGTACTGATTTCATCCCTGAAGTTATACCCACATGTTTTGAATCACTCTGTACATAGGGTGGACAAAGTAACAAATCACCTTAATTATTTCTCTTACTACTAGACCAATACAAATTGTTCTTTTAAATACCTTGATTTAAAGGGCCCTACAGGCTGATTGCAGTATATGTTTTATAGCTAATTTCTTTTTTTCATAATTATCAAACTCACCTTTAATTGGCCACCCTGCATACAACTTCCAACCTGAGTCTAACTGGTCTCGTAGGTAGTAATACCGACGAATCCACTAAAAGGCCCAGAAATCTCTTTCCTTTCCTGCCTATCTTCCCTTCGTCTATTTCCTTCTTCCACAACCAACCGCCATAATATATTTAAAATATTGTCATTGCAGAAATTGCGCGGAAAAGACACGACTCAACAGCTGTCTTGTCGCTTGGAAACTTTCCAAGCATGAATAATATATTACCTTCTATCATACGTGCTCGATAGGACCAAGAAGAGATCAGCTATGGCATTATAGCAAAATTGTCATTCAGCACTACTACTATGCGTACCTTGCCCCACAAACAATCCTGCGTTCAATTATGTGTAATTCACTTATACATACAGCTCTTTGTGTTTTGTCGAAATTAATACTATAATTTGCGATAATAACTTTATACGAGTAAAATAGTTTAGCAGTTTTGTTTGACGTCATAAAATATTTGTATCCTTTAGATAAAAATTAGAAGGTAGATTAAAATTAGAAGTAAGCTGCTTATTTGTTAAACGATCAATATATTATTTTTTACTTGTAGAAACAGATTTGTTATGACGTAAAAATTACATTGTTAGGTATTGAGAAAAATGATCCAATCGGAAGATGAAGAGTAACATATTAAATGTCACATGAAATTTACGACAATAGTACTTCTATCATGTTTAATTTTAATCAGAGACATTAAAGGAACAATGGAACGTCCCAAAGTGATAATCACCGAGTTTGATGAATTTTTGGCATATGGTAGATCTTGTAAAAATATTGAAAAGCTGAAAATCGTTCTCAAAATTAGGAGTATTTAGTCCAATATCTGAAAAACTATTAGAGACAGAGGAGTGGTGTAAATTGACTAAATTTGTATTTCTGAACGTCGAATGTGACTGCGTAAACAGATTTGGAATAAGTCCATTTGTTTAAATAATATATTAAAAATTATCACATTTTTCTTCATTTCTCTTGTAAAATATTTGTCGATTTTCGCGTAAATGTTTATATACAAATTATAGGCCCAAATACAAAGTACAAATAGACCAGAATTTTGATTGCCAATGGGAAAGGTTTCATCGGATGTAATATATTCTATACCCGTTTACTATCGATTTATCCCTGTATCTATTTGTTCAATTGTGTGCAGGTATGACAACAGCACAGATCGAAACAGAGAACACGCAAATGACTAACGATCTGTACAGACTGCTGAAAAAGTACACGGGACTAAGAAATCTCATTCGGGATCTAAAGGTATTTATAACCGTACAAATTCTTTTTCCCCCCGATATTCATTGCAATTGGGCAAGCGAATGAACAGTTCGACGTAAATGTATTCGAAACACCTGTGAAGAATCATCAAGCTCACTTCGAAGTATCTCTTCCATACTTATCCTTTTGTTTCCGTTCAACCTGCAATCGCACTTTCGTTAATCCTTTTCCGTGTCGTTCGAACAGATTGACAGAGAAAGGCTATTCGATGCAGTGAGAAAAGTAAATAATAATTTTTGCTGCTCGCGAAATTTATAACTTCTTTTTATGATAACTTTAAATTTATAAAGAGAAATTTATGATAACTTTTGCATACAATTCTTATACCATTGGTTTACTATTTCTCAAGGTGTTCGAGATTTCAAATGACAATTGTAGAAAGTTTCAATACGGAAATTACATTTTTTAAGAAAACTTCGATATCTGGTTCGTAAAGTAATGATCTCATGTTCAGTGGCGGGCAAAGTTCGTTTTCTTCAAATTTTGATTAGATCAACTCTATGGAAATTAAACGAGGAACACTGCCAAACTACAATACGATTTAAGACCTGCTTCTCCAAATCGTAACTACATTTTTCATCACATTTTATGCTCGCGAAAGAGAAACTCGCACTGCAGTAGGTTAAAGATCTACATACTCAATATTTCCTTTTTCGTCTTATTTGTGTTTTAACTTCTTATCAACTGCTCACACATGGTTATCAGCGATGATGATTCCGAGTAAATATATTACAGGAATACTGGATTTTATTATAAAACATCAAACCTCTTAGGAAGGAGAATATGTACTTTCAGTATTCGCCGAGGATCACCGATACCTGCTCAATATTGTTTTATTTAACGAGTCGAGCTCTGTAAATGTTCATCACGACTTAGCCTGTTTCCTTTCTAAAAAGGGCAATGTGACATCGATAGAAAAAATTGTTGTATCGGGTATGGAAAATCGCGAAGATTCTGAAGCGCCGATATTTGGGTCATAAAAAAGGGGGTTAAAAATATATGTATTTACATATTTCACGATGCAAGCCGCGAGCGTGGACTAATCCATCAGCTGAAAGTTTGTTTTTTTTTTACCGGGATACGTTCACATTGCCTTTTTCCAGCGACTGTTTTTAACGTGCAGCTTGAAAGAAATTTCAATTTCACCGTGCTTTATTATTTGTAGTGTTCACCGTTATGGAGAAAAGTGTAAGCCATCGTTACTTTTTAAGTGAAGTAAGTGTATTCTAATAAGCAGATTGAAATTCTTAGTTAAAATTTATTGTGATAATGTAATTAAGAGAAAGATTATTTGCAACTTATTTTTCTTAATGATCATTATATTTAAATATTTCATGCTTCCTGAGTATATTTTAAAATTTATTATCACTGTATTTGCTATCAAAGCATTTGTTCAATTTTGTGAATGAAAAAAGGAACGAAAAATTAATTTTTAAATTTCGATGCAAAAAGGTACTCGTTCCATTTAAAAAATTCAAGGTCGTCTTGTAATCTTGTAAACTAATATGCTATTTAAAACAAAATCATTGCAACATCATGTGTTCCCTTTAATACCGTGCAATTCCTATATAAAACACATACTTTAGAAGTTATTCAGGGGTGGATAATTTATGTGAGTCACCCTTTATATTAGATAATGAAATAGAACTACGAATGTGCACCGTTTAAATCACTTTTTGTGCATTTCATAGCAGACTCATTGACTCGTTATCTTACCTTTACAATTAATCCCATAAGAATAAAACTCAAGCTGTTTGATCTAATTTTAAAGAAAGCTATTCTGCTTTGAAGGGTGTCCACATATTTCTGTCCTTGACTGTATGTATGTATGTATATCTTTAATTGTGTTCCCTTAGGGTTACAATTTTCCTTACCCTAATCTTATTCTATATTTACAATTTTCTTATTACTATCTTACATGTACTCCTCTTACATCCTGCTATTTTTTACATCTACTTTTCCATCATTACCCATTCTTTACCATTACTGCGTTCAATTTAGTATATTTGGTATATTAATATTAATACACAAAAATTGATATACCTAAATTTTGGCAGTTTGGTATATTAACACTAATATACAAAAATTAATATACCTAAATTTTTCGCAATTTAGCATACTAATGTCACTAATGCACCGTTTGCTACAGGAGGAATACAACAGCTCAAAGGTGTACCCAATCTTTCCTCGCTATCCAATTTTGAAGGATATGATAAAGGACATAATGCACAACCCAGACTACATGGAGGTTTGTCACGAGGTGGACCAAGCATAGCGGCCGGACCCCCTCCACCGTTCGCCACGTATGACCTTGTAAAATTCTATTTACCAAGGATCTTAACGTGGTAGTTGGTGAAGGGGGTGAACCAGAATGGAGGTTGAAAAAGGCGTTTTTCTCATCCGTGGTGATCGATCACCTCAAACTCTATACATTTATTTTTCACACTTACACACTCTATGAAAACTTACATATCTATGTTTATTGCACATTACGATCATTTAATCTACAACCTGATTCATTTAAACCAGTACAAATTTACAAGGAACCATTCGTTATTCGTGTGATACAATTTATGCTAATTCTGTTTCTATTTATTGATCGAGTAAATTGTCAGAGAGAGAAAGAAAGAGAAGATGCGCGTATGTAAAGTAAAGAAATATAAGATCGGTGGAAGAAGTATAGCGAGCTTGTAAATTAAAGCATTCTGTTCTATGGTCCCTACCAAAAAAAGGATAACAACTGATAACCAGTACTATTTCGTATTCTATCGGACAAGTGAAAAGTCCTAATCAACATTTTCAATATTTAAAGTTTCTTTCTGTGCCTAACGTATAGTAAACTTATGTGACCAAAGCAGAGATCAATTGGTTAGTCGAATTTTCAAAACGTGGACCTGATATGAAATGAAGGAGATGATAAAAATTGAAAATGCTAGAAACTGAAATTAAAAAAGAGAAAACTTAAATTAGAAGAATTTTCAAGACGACGGAGTATCCTTTTTTTCTCGTATTTCTGTTTTCTCAATTTTACGAGCTCGCCGTACATTTGTTTCACGTAGTATAATATTGTACCGAAAGAAGAAGAGAAAGAGAGGATAGGTTTTATCGGAAGATTTATGGTTACCGGAAGGATTCTTTCGAAAATCCTTGGTACGACGGAATAAAGCTTATAGCATAGTCGAATCTACGTAGTGGAATTGACCACGGAAGATCTACTACTTGGTGCAATGCTAGATGACAATTAGACTGAGGATGTTCGTGTAAATACGTATTTTTGTAGGAATTGGTAATAAAATGGAACATGGTTCTAATTTTGTATATTTTACACATTTTTTTGTTAAGAATATATTGCATATTTCACATACGTTTAGCATATTTATTTCGTAAATTCCAATATGATCTACTGAACTTTCGAACAAATTTGCCAAGTACGTGAAAAATGTTGGAAAAAGTAGTTTCTTGTAATTTAAATTAATATCACAGTGTCTAAGTAATAAAGGTTCCATTATTACGACACATTTCCAACATTTTCCCACATGTTTATACAGTGGATTCCAGTTAATTGGGACACATTGGGACCGGACTATTTTATCCCAAAATAGCGAATTTCTACAGGAAAAATCTGAACAACGTAAAAAATGAAGCCAAAAACGATTTATTGAAAAACATATGTAATATTCGGTCTTGAATACAAATGTGTATTTAAGCATGCAAACAAAGCTAACAATAAGTAATAAAATTACATTAATAAGTAATCAAAAATAAGTAAATAAACACGTATTTATATTCCGTTCTTCAGTATCTGTCCAAAATAAACGGCGGTCCCGCTTAACCGGCGTCCCAATTAACCGGAATCCACTGTATATTATATTCTCATATTTCACATACTTCATTGACATATTTTAAGCACATAAACATCCTCAACCTAATGACAAAGTAAGCGCAACAATTAATTTGCATTTCGTGAACAAAGAATTACCAAAATCGAATAAAACAAAATGGCACTTCTTTTTCCGATTCCAAAATTGACGAAAATCGGGTGCACGCCGTGAATAGAAACACCAAGTAGCAGATCAAGAAGCAATTCCAATTAAAGAAGAAAATCAAACCGATCACCTTAGTTTCTGATTCCGATCGGAATAGCCGCTTGCACGTTGAAACACAAAATACATTACACCGACGCGTTTCACGTAAACGCCGCGCACGGTGTAAAATTTTAATTAAGGCAGCTAAAAATATCGCTTTTTACGGAAAGAACCGGGAGAACATTAGATCCGTAAGACGTGTCTCTCCCTTGTCGAACATATGAATGCGTGTGCGTGTGCGTTTGTGTACAAATTATATATCTCGCGCGCCCGCGTGTGTGTGTACATGTGTGTATGCTTATTGAAGTTGAAGATAATTAAAGGTATTAATTGTGAAAAGCGATATCCTGCTTCCCGCTATGGTCGTGACACACGACGTCGCCGTTAACCCTTTCATCGCTGTTGGCGTCTATTTAGGCGAATTGAAAATGTGCCCGCGCTGTGCCCTTGGCGTGTTTCGGCACACTTTCATCTTAATTTTCGCGCACTTCCACCGTAATTTAACGGAAGAATTTTAGGAACGTAGAATTTTACATTTGAATTTAACAATTTTTCTTTTAACTTTGAAACGCTGAAACGGAAGTTTTCGCGACCACGATGGAACGCGCGTTACGTACTAAAATCTGCCGCAGCGAAAGGGTTAAGTATTGTGAAACTAATAAATAGTTCGTTGAGCAAAGGAGACCTCTATTTACCTACGAACAGGACAAACGGTAGCAATCTAGTGAAATAATATATATTTATCCTGCATAAAACACAGCTTCCCGAGTAATTACATTGTTCTCTTTTTTTTTTGCAGAACGTAAGAATTTTTGGTTTTATGAAATCTGTTATAGGTACAACATTGTTCAGTTGATATCACTGATATATCGCACAGTGTGTAATATGCTAATACGGTTGACAAGGAAATTAATTGCACTCGTTGATTTATTTGACCGTTTACCCCAGTCGATTTTCTATCAACACTGTACAAATATTGAGTAATTGACGATTTACACGGAGTATTTGCTTTGCCATTTATTTCCTAAATTGGGTTTCGAAACACACAAAAAGGAAATTTATTAAAAATTACTTATTGATCGTTTTAATTCTAACAGCGTTCACGAATATTTGTATTGTTTCTGTCTGTTTATTAACATCTACGTTGTATGATTTTTTTATATGATTTTAGAATAGAAGCTTCAATTTTTGCATAATTTCCGTGTGTAGAAGTAGGTACTTTCATTAAATTCGTTAACGAAAAAGAGACTTGCTATTTAGGGGGTACATCACCCTGAAACTTCTAAAAATAGGTAAAGTTTAAGAATTTTTTCACAAGTAATTATAAAATAAAAAATTTCAATTTTTCCAGAGGACATAAATGTGACTTTTAGCCTTTCTTCTTCAATTTTCAAAAACTAAATGTGTTACAAATTGGAGAAGTTATTGCCAAACTGCTTCAGCTAGAACGCCGATGGCAGCCAGCAATCGACGCTCTAACAGAAGATCGTTCGCAATAACTCCTCCATTTTCCAACGTATTTACTTCAAAAAATTAAAGAAGCAAGCCGAAAGTTACATCTACATCCTCTGAAAAAATTGAATAGTTACGTTTAACAGTTACCTACGAAAAAAATTGCCAAATGTTACCTATTTTCAGACACCTCAGGGCGGTGCATCCCCTTGACACTTTTATTTTTCGCAGGAAGCACTTCGTTAAGAATATCCCGTATAAGCTTCTTTTACGTCCGTTGAAAGACTATGCAACGTGTATGTACATTGAACTCCACCTTGAGGTAAAATAATCTACTTCGTATGTTGAAACAATGATAGCCATAGGTCGCACATAACGTTGTTGTAAAAGAACGAGGATGTAATGCAAGATACATAAGTGTTACTTTGATACAGCAAACATATCGTCATTGCCGCACTTACGTATATAATATAAATATAACGATACCTACGTTAACCCATATAAACGACTACATATACGTACGTACTTTGCATTCTACAGTCTGATCGTAATTGATAATTGTAACGTTATACAAATTATGATATTCTACTTAATCTAACGGCCATGTTTCAGGTATTGATAAAATCGTGTCGATTGAATTCAAACCTTTTTATCGATGAAGAGTACATACGTATGTAAGCGAGATATACCACGTTGCATTTAATAGTGATCGCTATTACGCCACGTTATCGTTTCGAGAATATGAAATTCGTGGAATTAACCCAGATAACACGTGACGTCTTAGAGACGTCCATTTCAGACGTCTTGAAGACATACGAATCCGGTGCATTCAGTTGCAAAAAGTTACGCCTTTGTTCTGTTTTCAAGGCGTTCCTAAAACCAGAGCATAGTGCTTCGTAGCGCCACGTTTCAAAGACGTCTTGATTTGTAACACTGGACGTCGTTCAGACGTCTTTTGGGTATCGTTAGGCTTTCACTCGACGTCTTTAAGCCGTTCAGGAACGTCTGTGTGCTATTTGGGTATTATCGTGCGTTATTGTTTTTTGAGAACTTAAAATTCGTGGAATTAATTGAATACTAAGTACTTGTTTTTCTGTCCTTAAATAATTTTAATTGAACGTAACATGAAATCTCGAATTTTTGAGCTAAAGACGATTATTTGTTACTCGTATTTCGTTCAAAGTTTGGGTTTGCTTGGATCATCTGTACGATACAGTCGATCGTAAGCTTTTTTTCATACAAATTCACGGATATTTCATCTCTCTTATTTCTAAGATAAAAAGTGGTGCATAGAAGGTATAAAACAATAATAATAATAATATAAATAGAGCACAATAATGTTGATATTTAAAACGGTAATAATTATTACTCAATACGACGATACTTTATAGAGAAAGTGTGATTTGATAACAAATTACGAGCCTCGAGAGCAAATGATTTTTCGAAAACATGTTGATTTGAAAAAGACGTTCGCGTAATTCCAGTGTCGCATCGATCGTGCAAATTCATAGGAAATACTGTATAAATGATACTAATTATTTACTTCGAACGGTTCGAGTTGAATAATTTATTTCAATATAGACATATTTCGTGCTATTGATTTTCATTATTGAGCAAAGTACGTACTTGGCAGCCTTTAAAGTATATTGTGTGTTTTATCGTTAAGACATAATCGTAAATGAAATGGAATACGAATAATCTACTAAATAAGTAATGTATAAGGAAAGAAAAAAAAAAA